CTGGTCCCTTCTATATTTTTGTCTAATTGTCTCTGACAGTGTGTGCAATTTTGTGTTTCAGTTTTGGGGTATCATGTACAGGGCTTTCCCCCCAGCTGCAATGCACCAGATCACAGTTCCATCACCTCTCCCCATGTGACGCCTCTGGCTCATGAGAAGACCATCTCCAGAGAACCTTCAGGAGCAGATTGTAAAAAGTTTGAGCTATGCTGCTAAGAAAGTTTAGTCTCCAGGAAATGTGCCCATTCAAATTCCTGAGAACAGGAAGCTAAACTTTATGTCTCTCAGAGAACCCTTGTTAACCAGGAACCCAGACATTTCTCTTGAAATCAGATGCCTAGAAATGTAATGGTGTCAGACTCCTGCTGCCTGCTTGTGTATTGGGCTCAGCAAGTCCCTATGTTATTCCCCTTTGACACCTGGCAAAGAAAGGAAGACCAAATAGGAGCCACTACAGTGGTACCTCGGGTTACAGACGCTTCAGGTTACAGACCTCCAGAACGAATTAAGTTCTTAATCCGAGGTACCACTGTATTTTAATTCATTCTAAATCCCCATAAAGTAATCTCACAGCAGAGCAACACTACACATTCAACATTGATTATTATTGTGATTCTCAGAGATATAAAAGAATCCTCACTTATTCCCAGAATGCATGTTGTAATAACAGACAGTGATCTGTACACTTTTATTGATTCATAGCTGACTTTATTATTTGAATCCAAGTAGCTTTAAAGCCTCCACAATCTTTACTAAACACTTAGTATGCACTTGTGCAACTGTTATACAATCATAGGACTCAGCTGCATTAGTAAAGAAACAGCAATTTGAATGCACTATAAACATGCAACACCAGATGGCACCAGAGAGCAGGAAATTTTAAAACGCTGTTTCCCATAGAGATTTTTTTTTCTTTGGTTATAATGATCTAAATTGTGACTTATTTACAGTGGTTTCCCCCCAGTGTTTAGATCCACCCATAGACTCATATGTCACATTTTAACATTGTTAAGCAACTGCAATTACTACTACCACTACTACTACTATTTTAGTTATTCATTTCATATATCACAATTTATCCAAAGATCCCATCCATTGTGCAAAAGTCAGCTGCTGACAATACATAATGTACCTTTTCTGGGGGTCTTTCTTTCTTTCTTTCTTTCTTTCTTTCTTTCTTTCTTTCTTTTTCTTTTTCTTTTTCTTTCTTTTTTTGAGGCAGTGCCCTCATCTACTCATCAAAACAAAATTAATACTTTAGAAATCTCTGTACCTTGCTGACACAGTCATAGAGTAGAAGAAAGCAACAAGGTAGATTATTTAAAACTTTCTCCTAATTACAGTGGTGCCCCGCAAGACGAAATTAATTCGTTCCGCAAGTTTTGCCGTCTAGCGAATTTTTCGTCTTGCGAATTATTATTTAGACAAAGGAAACAAATTCGCGAGACGTTTTCGTCTTGCGAAGCAAGCCCATAGGGAAATTCGTCTTGCGAGGCAACTCGAAAACGGAAAAACCTTTCGTCTAGCGAGTTTTTTGTCTTGCGAGGCATTCGTCTTGCGAGGTACCACTGTAGTTGTTCTCTGTTGTTCATCTGGGGCTTGAACCTAATGATGTAGCATTTAGGAGTGAAGAGGTTATAACTTTAGGGACACATTCATCTTTGTCCTTACTTGGAATTTGCTCTTCTGGGCATGTGAAACATTCAGTCATATCTGAATTTATCATTCAGTATTACAGTGGTACCTCGGGTTAAGTACTTAATTCGTTCCGGAGTTCCGCTCTTAACCTGAAACTGTTCTTAACCTGAAGCACCACTTTAGCTAATGGGGCCTCCTGCTGACGCCGCGCCACAATTTCTGTTCTCATCCTGAAGCAAAGTTCTTAACCCAAGGTACTATTTCTGGGTTAGCAGCATCTGTAACCTGAAGTGAGAAGTCTGTGTTGTGAGAAACACCCAAGTTCTCCAAAGGAGCCTCCACCATAATGCTTCCCACCCATCTGATCTCTTCCAGCATCCAGATTTTATCTTCAAATATCTATTTTTTAAAAAAATGATATTTATTACATTTTAAAGAGTTACAAAAGAAAAAGTTAAAAAACAGCATATTTAAGAAGTACAAATCATCACATCATGATAATATCAAAACAAAAAGAAAAAAGAAAAAAGAGAGAAAAAATACATCTTCCCATAACTTGTCTTTCATTTGCTTCTTTCCTTGACCTCCTCACACCTCCCTTTTTTGTATTCTAGTTCAATTAACTATTTCAGCAAATCCTTTCCATCTTTTCCAGTTTTTGTCCTCTATTCTATCTTAATAAAATGTAACTTTACTTTCCCTCCTTCACCATTTAACAATCTATTTTTCCTTAATCCTTTATAGCATTTCTGCTAAAACCACATTATTTCATTCCAACATCCTTCTAACATTCCTTAATTTTACAATGTTTCTGTAAATAAACTTTAAATTTCTTCCCATCTTCTTCCACCAACTCTTCTCCCTGGTCTCGGATTCTGCCAGTCATTTCCGCCAATTCCATGTAGTCCATCACCTTCATCTGCTATTCTTCCCGGGTGGGTAGATCTTGTGTCTTCCAATACTTCGCGATAAGTATTCTTGCTGCTGTTGTGGCATACATAAAAAAAGTTCTATCCTTTTTTGGCACCAATTGGCCAACCATGCCCAGGAGAAAGGCCTCTGGTTTCTTCAGAAAGGTATATTTAAATACCTTTTTCATTTCATTATAAATCTCCCAGAATGTCTTAATCCTTGGGCATGTCCACCAAAGGTGAAAAAATGTGCCTTCAGTCTCTTTACATTTCCAACATTTATTATCGGGCAAATGGTATATTTTGCAAGCTTGACTGGTGTCATGTACCACCTATAGATCATTTTCATTATATTTTCTCTTATGGCATTACATGCCGTAAACTTCATACCTGTGGTCCATAACTGTTCCCAGTCAGCCATCATAATATTATGTCCTACATCTTGTGCCCATTTAATCATAGTTGATTTCACCGTTTCATCCTGAGTATTCCATTTCAACAGCAAGTTATACATTCTTGACAAGTTCTTAGTTTTGGGGTCTAACAGTTCTGTTTCCAATTTTGATTTTTCCACCTGGAAGCCAATTTTTTTATCCAAATTGTACACCTCCATTATTTGGTAATAATGGAGCCAATCTCGCACTTATCTTTAAATATCTAAAGGGTTGTCAGTGGCACATGGATGGAGCAAGCCTGTTTTCTCCTGCTCTAGATGTTAAGATGTCAACCAATAGATAAAAGTTAGAAGAAATGACTTACTGGCTAAACATCAGTAGGAGTTATTCAATAGTAGAATGGACTGCCTCGGAAGGTGGTAGACTCTCCTTCCTTGGAGGTTTTTAATTATTGGATCTGGTGTAATTTATGCCATCTTAATTTGCACTGGTCTGATTTATGCCAGTTTCTTGTGTACAGAATTGCTCCCTTCCACTTAGTATTTGTGAGGTGAGGTTAATACACAGGGAGGGCAGTCCTATGCACAAGAAGGTGGGATAAAGTTATTCTAAGCTGAGATGAACTATGCCTGATCTTTCTTTAAGCAGTATGACAGGTAAAAGGTAAAGGGACCTCTGACCATTAGGTCCAGTCGCGGACGACTCTGGGGTTGCGGTGCTCATTTCGCTTTACCTGCCGAGGGAGCCAGCGTATAGCTTCTGGGTCATGTGGCCAGCATGACTAAGCCGCTTCTGGCGAACCAGAGGAGCGCACGGAAACACCATTTACCTTCCTGCCACAGCGGTACCTATTTATCTACTTGCACTTTGATGTGCTTTCGAACTGCTAGGTTGGCAGGAGCAGGGACTGAGCAATGGAAGCTCACCCCGTCATGGGGACTCGAATCACGACCTCCCAATCAGCAAGCCCTAGGCTCTGTGGTTTAGACCACAGTGCCACCCGCGTCCAAAGTATGACAGGTAGTTTGGTGTAATTCTCCAAAAGGGGGAATTCTGGGGATATGGTAAGGGCAGGACCAGGGTGGGGAGACCTTCACTGTGGCCTAAGCCAGTTTTCCAAAGGCTTGTTTCCCCTCTACCAGGCCGATGCAGAGCATCAAAAAGCTTTGGGTTTTGTGAAACTTTAAGCTGCCTTAATTTACACTGGCTTGCTTTATGCCAGCTTCTTGTGTGTAGGAGTGGTTCCTATGAGTGCAATTCTATCACAATTGACCTGGGAGTATTCCTCATTGAATGCAATACTTCTGAATAGACATGGGTAGAGTCAAGTGAAGTGAATTGGTAGGTCCAGGGATCGTGTACTCATGGGGATGGTAGATGGTTGAAGGAGTGCCCTGGGTGGGAGACAGGGAAATGTCAGTCTCCCAGGTTGAGAGGTTGGGAGGAGAAAGGCAGAATTCCAGGTGAAAGCTGGGAGGGGCTGCTGCCTTCTATGGGATGTGGGGGCTGATAATTGCCTTTAGGAGAAAACTTCCTACTGTGTATTTTGCTGTCGTTTTAAATATCATTATCTTGTGGAAAATTTTAATAAAATATTATAATAAAAAATAAGGTGTGCAAAGAACTAAGATTTGCTATTGTGGGGAGTCACTTCAACGGCATGTGATGAAGAATAATTATCTCTCGGGAAATATTGAAATCACTATAATTTGTTCATCTGCCCAAAAGACAATAAAAAATTTCTAACTGAGCAAGTTTAGAAGTGGTAATAAATAACTCCCTGTGCCATAGACCACTGGGAGAAAGGGCAAGAGGCAGGTAGGGTCTGCCTCAACTTGAAATTATGATGTTGACAATGTCTGCTATAGCTCAAAGCATTTGTTTCCCAGGGATACTGAAGGCTGAGTGAAGTACCAACCAATGTGGTTTGCTTAAGTCAAGCAGCTACTGAAAATGAGCAGAGGGGAGTCTGTGTCAAGGGCAAGGCTTTGCTGACTGGATGCTTCTGTTTATGTTCCTGCTTCTGCTGCCTCACACGGTGTACAAAGTGGCTAGCATGGGGTGCCCCACAAATGAACCCGTCCCTGTTCCCCATGAGTGGCACCAGCCAGGAGGCCTCATCATTGGTGGAATTGCTTCTCAGATCATTTACCATTCTCTGGAAATTGACTTCAAAGAACCGCCTTCTCAGAAACTGTTTCAAGATCCAGAGTAGGGAATTGCAATTTTCTACCACCCCTCTACACGTTTTGTCATTGGCAAGATCACAAAGAAATGTTTAAGTTGGACACACCCCCACACCACACACAATTACAACAAATTTTCTCATGCTGATAAGTTTTTGGGGAAAGCAAAATAATTTAAATGAAGACTTGAAGGAATCTGCACAAGCAACTACAAAAATATATCTGTGAATAGTTTTGTTTTTGTTTGTTTGTTATTTTTTATAAATAATTTTTTTAAAAGCCCAGTGATGAATGTGGTCAGGTATATTTTGAGGGTGTCAAATTCATTTTAAATACCTGATAATAGCAAAAAAAATAAGCCCAGTCCCATTTTATTGATCAGCACACAATGTTCTTGAGGCTGGAGGTGATTCCTCTTCTCGTAAGACACTTCATTTAGGTTGTCATTTCTTTTTTCTTTTTTCTTTAGTTTTTTTATTTCTAATTTTCAAATATATACATTTCATTAGTTTTACAATCAATTTAACATTTCAAGATTTGACTTCCACCACCCCCCTCTCTGCAGTTCCTTAAATTTATTTTTAAAATATCTTTTGCATATCCAGGTTCATTTAACTTGCTCATTTAATTATCTACTGTAAATATATACGTGTATAAAACTGCAGGTTATTACAATAATCCTGCTAATGTTTATATCTGTTTACATTTTATCTGTAAATATTCAATAAACCATTTCCATTCTTTTATTTTTTTTAAAAAATTGGTATCTTGATTTCTTATTCTTCAGGTAAGTTTCGCCATTTCTGCATATTCCATAAGTCTTTGTATCCATTTTTCCTTTGCTGGGACTTCTGCTTCTTTCCACTTTGGGGCAAGTAACATTCTTGCTGCTGCTGCAGTAGCTTACATAAATAATTTTCTATACAATTTAGAAAGTTCTGACCCTATAATTCCCAAAAGAAATTGGGCAATTAGGTTGTAATTCCTGTGAAACTCAAATCCACATCTAGGTTTCCACATTTTTATTTATTTATTCTGACAGTTGGCAGAACAAAGTCCTATGCAGAGCAGAAATAAAAGGATATGCTTATTATAATTGAAGTAAGAAACACAGAAATTTCTGGTATGGTGATATAACAACTTCAGGCATTGTAATAAACACCTTCTCTTTGCAGAATGATAACGAAATTTTACCAGCACATCCTTTCCTTGGCATTTGCTGTGGATGAGATCAACAAGAACCCCACACTCTTGCCCAATGTTACACTTGGCTTCCACATCTATGACAGCTACTATGATGCAATGGCAACTTATCGTACCACCTTAGACCTCCTCTTCAAGTCACATAAATTTGTTCCCAATTACATATGTGACCCACGGAAAAAGGTTATAGCTGTCATTGGTGGTCTTGGCTCTGATATTTCTTCCTTAATGGCAGACATTTTAGGTTTCTATAAGATTCCACAGGTAGGAATTCTCTGTCTGTCTGTCTGTCTGTCTGTCTATGCATGTGTGTTCTAAAGCTCTGTTTGGGGACTGTATAACAAGATGAATTGAAGTGATTTATGGGCCATCACCCTTTTACTCAAAGCACAACAAACCAAGATTTTTCAGGGCTGTCATTCTGCACTATATTCTATATCTCTGCACTATATTCCTTATTTAATTCTAGGTTTCTCTAGATTTAAGCCCTAAAGATAGCCAAGAACAGGGATTTCCTGTTTAAGTTGCAAAAAAAGAGCTGGAAACATAGGCCCCATTATTTCCTGTACATTAGCTGCCAAGTGAACAGTGCTAGCAGCAGCAGTAATATTTTTGTTGCGAGTTTCTACAGCATACTGAGCAACACATTTAGGATGAGGACACACAACAACAAGAAGAAAAAACAAGAAGCAGAAGCAGATATGCACTCATTAATGTGGGATGGAAGAAATATGAGAAGTATAAACAATGCAAGTTCAAGAACAGAGAGAGGGAATGTCGAGAATGACAAAGTTGCAATTAGATTTGAAAGCAAAATAATACTATTTAAAGTGTCTTGGGCTTTCTGAAGGACTCGTGAGGCATCTTCTCTAAAATAGAGTTGAATTTTGACTCTGAACATCCCCAAGCTTCCATGATATGCTGCCCACCACTTAAAGGAAATAATCTGTAACAGTTCAAGATGCAGTATTTTTTAAAAATCTAAGGAAATAATCTGTAACAGTTCAAGATGCAGTATTTTTTAAAAATCTGCTCTGCTTCAATAAAAACTTCCAGAGCACTTCAGAACTCTGCAGGCCTGTAAAAGCTAGACCACAAATATTACAAGTGTTACAAAATATACAAGCCAGAAAACATATCAACCAGCTTACCTCTTAACCCCTGCTTCAACTGCTCCATAAGAGTTTATAAAGCAAATCCCATTTCCTCCAATAGCACCTGGATCTATTTTTGTTTAATGTGGCATGCTAATCCAATGTGCAGGGTCTCCTGTATATGGAATTTCCATGCCATTTGGCTAAAAATAGGGGGAGAGAATTATAACCTTTTTTTCAATTCTACATTATAGTGGAAGGGCAAACACAGACCTTCACATCAAACACAGTGGCTTGGAACAGATCAAAATGGAGAGAGCAACGGAAAACTCAGAAACATTGTTAATATTTATTTATTTGTTTGTTTTAAGCAGTTACAAATATTAGGAGATTTTGGAGCGCGCACACACACAGTTGTAGTAAATTACACTCTTCTGAGCCCGGCTTCGGCTGGGGAGGGCGGGATATAAATAAAATTTATTATTATTATTATTATTATTATTATTATTATTATTATTATTATTATTTTGTCATGCTGTGAGAAATTGCATGGTTCAGAAAGAGGGAATAATAGGAATGACAATTAATAAATCCCAGAAATTGGATCATATCCTGATAACCAGGAAAAGAAAATTCCAGCAGAAGCACTGTTCCCTTTAACTTCCAGCAGAACCACAAATTGCTTCAATAAATCTTTGTTGCATGAGCAAAAAAATGTACAAAAAAACCATTCATTCCTCCTAACTTTTCTCCAGAAACAACTACAGGTGTGCACATGTAAATTAGTTCTAGTTTTATTGCTGCTTTTATATTTGGTTTTAACTTTTTTTTTTTTTGCTGCTGCTGCTGCTCTTTTTTAGCCTGTAAATCACTTCGAAACACTTCACTGTAAAAACTGATGAAAAAATGTCATTGATGATGATGATGATGATATTTGATAATAATTTTCTTTTAGCTTACGTATGGCTCATTTCCCCACAAGGATATGCTTATCAGTCAGTTTCCCTCCCTTTATTGCATGGTTCCAAATGAAAGACTTCAATATATGGGGATTGTCCAGTTACTTCAGTATTTTGGATGGACATGGGTAGGACTTATTCCTGTGGATAACAACAGTGGGGAACTTTTCTTACAGACCCTGGAGCCTTTGCTTTCCCAGCACGAAATCTGTTCAGCCTTCACACAAAGAATCCCACAAATTTCTCATTTTGATAACTTGGATAAACTAACTGATATAGTCGCAAATCTTCATCTACATTTCGCAGATAATAACGTGACTGCACTTCTTGTTTATGGAGAATCATTAACGATTTCATGGCTCAAAACTATTATTCTTTTTTATGTTTTTCGAAAAACAGAAAATGCATCATTTAGCAAGGTGTGGATTACGACAACCCAGATTGATTTCATATTAACAGGCCTTCAAAGGGGGTGGGGACTCCAGCAGTTTCATGGTGCCATTTCCTTTGCAATTCACTCAAAAGAGCTTTTGGGATTCCAAGAATTTCTTCAGCACATAAGACCCTATGGGATGCAGAAAGATGCTTTTTTCAATGACTTTTGGGAGCAAGCATTTGACTGTGAACTTCAAGATCCCAGTGAGGCAATGGAGGTTGATAGGGCATGTACTGGGGAGGAAAAGATGGAGAATCTTCCTGCACCCTCTTATGAAGTGCCCATGACTGGCCAAAGCTATAGTATCTACAATGGGGTTTATGCTGTGGCTCATGCATTGCATGCAATGGTCTCTTCTCAATCCTGCCAAAGAGGGTTCATTTCAAGGGTTAACCAACTGGTTCTTCAAGATCTGCAGCCTTGGCAGGTAATGTCTCCACATTAGATTTTTTTTTTATCAGTGAGCAGATCAGTATGAATTGAGAAAAATCCACTCCATTTCTACTCCATTAAAAATTGATGAGATGGGATTGTATATATTATGCATGGAACTGATTTACTGGCTTACATTTCCCCACAATAAATGTAGCCTGAAAATACAATGCATTATATATCCCCCTATTACCTAACTCTTGGTCATTCAGAGTGGGGTTGGTGACAAAGGTAGGCAACAATCTGGAGGACAACAAATTTGCTATGCCTGCCTTAAACCATAATAGTCGGTAAAAAATGAATTCTCTCATTTGTTTCAAACCCCCCCCCCATTTGTTTCCCTCCTTTCAAGTGCCTTCATTTCTTTCTCTCTTTCAATTAGCTCCATCCTTTTCTTCAAGGCAATTCCTTTAACAATTCAGCTGGAGAAACTGTGTCCTTTAATGATAAGCGGGAAACAGAGGGTGGATTTGACATCATGAATATTATAATATTTCCAAATGAGTCCTACCAGAAAGTGAAAGTTGGTAGGATGGATCCCAATGCACCTGAAGGAAGAGAATTAATCATTAATGAATATATAATTGTGTGGTACGAAGATTTAAACAAGGTATGGATTCTGCTATGGCCAGATTAAGGACAAACTATCTCAATTGGCACAGCAGCATTCTAAAGTGAGGGTTGCCACATTACTTGTTTAGCAGGGATTTTTGTGTATTCTAGGTATTTTAGCTGGTGCCCATCTGCACCATTGTTGCCCCTGATGCTAAGATTTCTCTAGCCCTTGTGCCACCTGGGAGACAGTGCAAAAGGTCTTAAAACATTGGCAGTCCATATCACTTCTCCACAGAAAACTGAAATGAATCTATCCATGTATCCATCAATCTACTGTACTTTTCCAATTGTAATTCCTTTCATGTCTATGGATAGACTCTCCCCCTTTCTGTGTGCAATGACCACTGCCAGCCTGGTAGTCAGAAGAAAAGGAAGGAAGCAGAAAAGTTTTGCTGCTATGATTGCATTCCTTGTGCAGAAGGGAAGATTTCGAACAAGAAGGGTAATACACTTTCTCTCTTTTTTCAACTGTGCAAATATATATTCCTTTGATTTGAATATTATCATCTAGGTAGTAAGTTATTAAGGGTAGACATGGATAATTACTTTTGAGGCAATAGGTAAAATGAATGAATGAGACTCATTCATGCATTGCTATAAGAATCAATGAATAGGAGAGTAAATGGATATCAAATATTGTATACAAATCCACTCTGTCATTTCTACTTTCCAATAAACACAAACACATGCAGCAGACCATTGCCTTGCTATCCCACTTAAAATAATAGAAACACTTATATGAGGCACACATTATAATATTGCCTCCAAAGTAGACATCCAATATGCCTAATATGTGTCCAGTCTAATGCCCAGTGTCAGGATTGCAGGAAGACTTCAAATGTTACTGTAAAGGTAAAGGTAAAGGTACCGCTGCCCGTACGGGCCAGTCTTGACAGACTCTAGGGTTGTGCGCCCATCTCACTCAAGAGGCCGGGGGCTAGCACTGTCCGGAGACACTTCCGGGTCACGTGGCCAGCGTGACAAAGCTGCATCTGACGAGCCAGCGCAGCACACGGAAACGCCGTTTACCTTCCTGCCAGTAAGCGGTCCCTATTTATCTACTTGCACCCGAAGGTGCTTTCGAACTGCTAGGTTGGCAGGTGCTGGGACCGAACAACGGGAGCGCACCCTGCCGCGGGGATTCGAACCGCCGACCTTTCGATCGGCAAGCCCTAGGCGCTGAGGCTTTAACCCACAGCACCACCCATGTCCCTTTTGCATCTGGATCTCTATTTGAAATGAATGGGAAAGTTAGCCATATGAGGGATAAACTTCTGATGGTCAATTCCCTTCATGGTTACAGATAACCTGTACATTCCATGTGAAAGCATGAATGTTATAAGCAAATCATTTAATACATAATCATGCTATCTTGCATCCCTGCTTGCAGTGGCATAGAAATATTCCTTCATGACTATAGAGCATGAGAAGGTGAAATCTACTGAAAAAATACAGCAGAACTAAAACAGGTCATAAAAATATAGATCGTGATGATAGTAATCTTACTTGAATGTTTTTCTTAAAGAAATAACAATTATTTCATAATTAATTGCAAAAATATGTATGTATCGCCCTCTTGCATTCCCGCAGCGTGGTGTACAGCAACATAAAAACATTTAAAAACAATTATTAAAGGTAAAGGTAAAGGTACCCCTGACCATTAGGTCCAGTCGTGGACGACTCTTGGGTTGCGGAGCTCATCTCTCTCTCTAGGTGAGGGAGCCAGCATTTGTCCACAGACAGCTTCCAGGTCATGTAGCCAGCATAACTAAGGCGCTTCTGGCGAACCACAGCAGCACACGAAAATGCCATTTACCTTCCCGCTGGAGCGGTACCTATTTATCTACTTGCAGGTGATTGCCTATTCATGGACATTCTAAACAACTGCATAGGCCCATTGGAATAAAGGGAATTCTAACCTGTCCTGCTTAATGGGACCTCACTGAATGCCCAACATCTGGTTGAGGCCAGTCAAGCCTCTATAACATACTGGGGAAATGAAGAGTGTAAATATTACATATGCATATTACATTATTCCTGCATTGCAGGGGGGTTGGGCAAGATTTCACTCAGGGTCCCTTCCAACTCTACAATTTTGTGATCCAATGAAACAATATAATCTCAATATGGGAGGTGGAGAAGAGAACAGTGTGTAGTTTAACATGTGACTTGGCACTAAAAGGTGGTTTCTTTCTATTCTTCAGATGTGGCTGACTGCTTCCAGTGCCCAGAAGATGAATTTCCAAACAAGGACAGAACTGAATGCATCACTAAAGTTATAAGTTTTCTGTCTTTTGATGAACCCTTAGGGATCACTTTGACCTCAGTTGCTCTCTTTTTTTGCCTGATCACAGCCATGGTGCTAGGAATTTTTATTAGGCACAAAGACACACCCATTGTCAAGGCCAATAACAGGGACCTCACTTACACGCTCCTGGTCTCCCTCCTGCTCTGCTTCCACTCTTCTTTACTGTTCCTCGGACAACCAGGGAAGATCTCCTGCCTCCTCCGACAACCCACTTTTGGCACCATCTTCTCAGTGGCTGTTTCATGTGTGCTGGCAAAAACCATCACCGTAGTTCTAGCTTTCATGGCCACCAAACCTGGGTCCAGCATGAGGAAATGGGTGGGCAAAGGACTATCCAATTCTATTGTCTTTTGTTTTGCTCTTATTCAAGCATGTATTTGTATTGTGTGGTTAGCAACATCTCCCCCATTCCCTGATTTCGACCTTCACTCAGCAACTGAAGAAATCATTCTGCAATGTAATGAAGGGTCAGTTGCCATGTTTTACTGTGTCCTTGGTTACATGGGCCTCTTGGCCATTGCCAGCTTCACTGTGGCATTCCTAGCCCGCAAGTTACCGGATAGTTTTAATGAAGCCAAGTTCATTACATTTAGCATGTTGGCCTTTTGCAGTGTGTGGGTGTCCTTTGTTCCAACTTATATGAGCACAAAAGGAAAAAACATGGTGGCTGTGGAGATCTTCTCTATCTTGGCCTCTAGCGCTGGTTTATTGGGTTGCATCTTCTCCCCTAAATGTTACATTATTGTGCTGAAGCCTGAATTGAACAACAGGGAGCAAATAGTAAGGAGAAAGATGTAAAGAATCTGTCTGGCTTTTCTGTTGATACATTACTGCCTCTGTAGTAAAAAGGTTTCATCAGCAAATGGGCTACTGCAGCATAAATTACATAGGAGACAAGTCCTAGGGACTGAGGTCCCTTCAGTACCCCCATTAAATATTTGAGGGGGCAGGGGCCCCCAAAGGTAATGGGCATTGCCATTCTAATGTTGTGTGCATGTCAGTTCTTGTGATCAATTATGTGGGGTGGTGCTAATCTCTCCCCGAATATTTTATTCAAGTTGGTACTCCCTTGTTAATTAGATCTTCAGCATTGTATCTGTTTCACAGTTTAAATATTTATCTATATCACATCCTTCCAGTGCCTATGAAGCTCTCAGCTTGGCTAAGAAGAATTAAAATGAAGCATAAAGTACAATAAAATAAAAAACTACCTGATTTTTTTTATTAATATTTGTGAAATTTGTATACTGCCCTTCATCCATAGATCACAGAGTGATTCACAACATAACAATGCAAGATAATAAACACACACACAAAATATATAACAATAACAAACCAATAACCCACCATCCCACCCCCACCCCAAAACACATTAAAAGACATTAAAAGCGTATTGGATGTTAATCAGCCAAAGGCCTAGTTGAAGAGAAACATTTGTGCCCGGCATGTAAGGTGCATAATGAAAGTGCCAGCAAAATGTTCCTGGGGAGAGTATTCAGCAAGTGAAGACCCACTGCAGAAAAACACCATTCTTGTGTTGCCACTCTCTGGTCCTCATGTGGAGGAGGCACATGAAGAAGGGCCTCAGATGATGAATACAAGGTCCAGGAAGGTTCGTATCTGGAGAGGTGATCCTTGAAGTATTGAAGTCCTGAGCCAAATTCTGCACCAGTTGCAGCCCTACATATAACATCTTGCATTAATCTAACCTAGTAGATACCAGAGCACAGACAACAGGTTAGGCTACCCCTGTCCAGATATGGGTACAGCTCAGCCACCAGTTGATGATGGAAGGCACTCCATGCCACCTAGAACTAAAGCAACAGCAAAGGATCCAGAACTACCCTCAAGCTGTGTTCCTGCTCCTTCAGAGGGAATGTAACTCTGTCAAGAGCAGGCAACCTCCCATCCATCCAGTCTTGGGAAGTGCCCACTAGCACTACCTCCTTCTTATAAGGATTGAGCTTCAGGTTGTTGGTTCTCATCCAGTCCATTACCAAGGCAAGACAGAGGTCCAGCACATCCACTGCTACACCTGCAGATGCAAACGAGAAGTTGATTTTGCCAAAGTCCATTCTGTGATTTCAGAGGTTGACATTCTTTAGAGTTATCAGTAAAGTATTTTATAAAACGATGCCATAAAATTGTCCATAATATTTGTATTATGGAATGCATGTAATCTCCCCGTTATTTTTTTCTGATAGACCATACATGCTGTTTCCAATCAGAGATACGGATATTTTCCTGCCCTTTCCAATTCTGTGCCACTAATAGGTGTGCTGTACTGGGAAAAAATGGTATGCACCTCCTCTGAAAAGCCGAGCAACCAATTCTTCAGACGCTTCCCAGAACAAGTTCTCCCTCCAGCTGAACTCCCTGACAGCTGCCGACACTGCTGTGTATATCTGTGCCCGAGAACCACACTGTGAGACAAGGTCAATTGGGGTTATGTACAAAAAGAGGAAATTCAATCCGAACACAAATCTCTGGCTCTACTCAGTGCCACCTCCAACACAGAGGAATTTATACCCATCATGCAAAGAGAGAAAGCAGATATCTTTAACATTCAGGCCCATTCAGCATGAATGAATGAAACCTTATATGGCCTGCAATCAGTTTGGTACTTTAATACTGTCCTCCTCTACATCCACTGGCGGAGGAAGGGGGGCGGGAGAGCTCACCAACCCCAGCACCATCGGGGAGGGGGGTATCATCGCAGCTGCCCCCCGGACATGCGCCACTCACACCACCACCGCACCAGGTGCCATGCCCCTGCGGGCAGCGTACCACGTCCCAGGATGCATGCCATGCCCCCGCAGCAATGCACCACGCCCCCAGGACGCACGTCAGCCATGCCCCCACCTGCCTTCCGCCCCCAGTGCCAGAGCATGCAGCTCCACCACTGTATACATCAGCAGATTAATGCAAAGCCAATACTTTTTTCACTTTCTCTCAAAACTCTCAAAACCTTTCACCTCACATACCCTTCCCACTATGCCAGTATTCATTGCACTGGCTGCTTCCTCCTTTGGTGTGTTGGGATTTATAGTCTATTGTGCCACTAGAACTGTATCCCAGATAATAACCAGTGGCTTCTGTTTCTATTTAAATTATTTCTTCTTTTTCCATTTCCAGTTCCAGATGTACTTTCCCAGAGAGTTCTGACCCAGTTGTCGGAACCAGTATTGAAAAAACCTGGAGAATCCCATAAATGAACCTGTAGCACCTCTGGGTTTGAGATTTACAGCAACACTATGTGGCAGGTGAGAGAAACCTGGTGAAGGTCTGGAATTCATTATTCAGCATAAAAATGTTTGGAGCAAATGTGACACCTCTGCAGTCTGAGGGCGATTCACAGCCTCAGAAAGCAGCCCCAACTTCTATCTGCAGATGAACAAAATGGAAGGAGGAAATACAGCCATGTATTACTGTGCAAGAGACACAGTGAGAGAGATGCGATTAGACCTCAGAAAAAAACCTCATCACTAAATGAGATTTAGCAAAGACCTACCAAAGGGGGCAGAAGAGAACCACAAATGAGACAAGCAGATATAACAAGGAAGGATATTATAGAAGAGCTATTAAGAATAGCTGCTATTCTTTGGCCCATTCCAACATGACGTGTGGCTCCAGGGTCATTCTGCTCACTATGAATTCTCTGGCAGACTCATTTTAGGGGAAATGAATAGAAATGCCAATTGTTCAAATGTGAAATCTTAGAATCATAGAATCATAGAATCATAGAGTTGGAAGAGACCACAAGGGCCATCGAGTCCAACCCCCTGCCAAGCAGGAAACACCATCAGAGCACTCCTGACATATGGTTGTCAAGCCTCTGCTTAAAGACCTCCAAAGAAGGAGACTCCACCACACTCCTTGGCAGCAAATTCCACAAAATCTTCTGCAGTTTATTATTATTGTTGTTGTTGTTGTTGTTGTTGTTGTTGTTGTTGTTTTATTACTATTATCATTGGAAAAAGCATTCATTTTAGGGGAAATGAATACGAAATGCCAATTGTTCAAATGTGAAATCTTGTGCAGTTGATTATTATTATTATCATTGGAAAGAGCATAGAATGTTCTTCTGACAGTGAGACATACTGGAAATATTATGATTTGTCTATCCTGAATTCCAGGAGCCCGGATGCAGACTTTGAAGGTGATGGAATTCAGGAAATTTCAGAAGGGATTTCATCTTCCTGTGAAAGTCCTGGCTGTGTTCAACTTTACTGGCTGAAACACAAGCTGGATAGAAGAGCCTTAGCCTAGAATAGAACTTGAACTGCAATCCTAGAAAGTGATATTATAAAGCCTGTTTTATGTGAAACCCTGAAAGGTAATTGAATGGACTTTTCTTTTTGAAGTAAAAACAGAGTTCACATTAAAATGTAGCTTAGAAAATGGTTCAGAATGTAAGGCAGATATCCAAATCATGATTTCTTGAAAGTTATGTTCTTCATAATGCCATCAATTTTGATTTTAATTAATTTTTATAATGTTTTTATAATGTTGCACTATTTTTGTGTTGTTAGCCGCCCTGAGCCCAGCTTCGGCTGGGGAGGGTGGGATATAATTAAATTCGTTGTTGTTGTTGTTGTTATTATTATTATTATTATTATTATTATTATTATACTGACTTTACAGTAAAAATGTGTGTTTACATATTGAAAAAACCCTTGGAAGGTAAAACAGGTCAACCCTGACCTGTGCCCTGTTTCCCACAGTCTCTTTATATAACATAACTTACTATTGGAAGGACACATGCAAATCACTCAAGAAGGCTGAGGCTTGAGGAACCCTCTGTCCCCTCAATATAAACTCCTTACTTTTTTCCAGGCCCAAACCCTCCTTTTTCCTGCCTCACTAGGACAGTTCTTTGTTAACACCATGAGGTTTCTGCTGTTGTTTTCTTTGGTGGCCTTTCAAAAATGTAAGTGTATATTCTATGGGAAGTTCAAAAATATAGGTTTATTTCATGCAGTGATTAGATGATGTTCAGTAGATGATGCTCAATTCATTATAGTTATCTCTTTCAAGGGGTCCTTTCTGATGTTCAGCTCGTATCTTCTGGTCCAGGAACAGTGAGGCCTGGAGAGAACCTCCGTCTGCTCTGTAAAGTTACTGGTGTCTCCATCACTGATTCAAATTCTGTGTGGAACTGGATCCGTCAGCCTTCTGGCAAAGTTCTGGAGTGGATTGCAAGAATATACTCCCATGATGGGGGGAAATGGTTTGCTGCTTCTCTTCAGAGTCGTGTGACCATTTCTTCAGACAACTCCAAGAATGAGTTTTCCCTCCAACTGAACTCCCTGACAGCTGCTGACACCGCTGTGTATTTCTGTGCCCGAGAACCACACAGTGAGACAAGGCCGATTGGGCATTTGTACAAAAAAGAGGAAATTCAGTCTGAACACAAGTTTCTGTCTCTACTCCGTGCCACCTCCAACACAGAGAAATTTATACCCATCTTGCAAAGAGAGAAAGCAGATGTCTTTAACATTCAGGCCTATTCAGGATGAATGAATGAAACCTTATCTTGGCTGCAATCAGTTTGGTATATTAATACTGTCCTCCTCTACATCAGCAGATTTATCCAAAGCTAATAGGCTGGCCTCAACTAGAGCCAGGGCTTTCTCGGCCGCGGCTCCAATCTGGTGGAACGCTCTGTCACAAGAGACTAGGGCCCTGCAGGACCTGACATCCTTCCGCAGGGCCTGCAAGACAGAGCTGTTCCACCAGGCCTTTGGTCAGGGCGCAGCCTGACCCCCTCCTCTGGCAAACTGCATAGAATTTTGCTTGATGGTTGCCATTAATTTGATTTTAATTTGATTTAATTAATTTTAGAATGAATGTTTTTAGAATGTTGGACTATTTTGATTGTTGTTAGCCGCCCTGAGCCCAGCTTCGGCTGGGGAGGGCGGGATATAAATAAATTTATTATTATTATTATTATTATTATTATTATTATTATTATACTTTTTCCCCTTCCTACCTCAACTCTCAAAACTCTCAAAACCTTCACCTCACACAGCCTTCCAGCTATGCCAGTATTCATTGCACTGGCTGCTTCCTCCTCTGGTATGTTGGGATTTATATTCTATTGCACCACTAGCATTGTATCCCAGATGATAACCATTGGCTTCTGTTTCTATTTAAATTATTTCTTCTCCCCCTCCTTCCAGTTCCAGATGCACTTTCCCAGATAGTTCTGACCCAGTCTTTGGAACCAGAATTGAAAATACATGGAGAATCCCATAAATGCACCTGTAGCACCTCTGGATTTGATATTTACAGCAACACTATGTGGCCAGTCAGACAGAAACCTGGTGAAGGTCTGGAATTCATTATTTGACATAATAATGTTGGAAGCAAATATGATACCTCTGCAGTCTGAGGGCGATTCACGGCCTCAAAAACAGCCCAAACTTCTATCTGCAGATGAACAACCTGGAAGAAGGAAATACAACCATGTATTACTGTGCAAGAGATACAGTGAGAAAGATCCGATTAGACCTCAGCGGGGGAAAGCTCATCACTAAATGAACTTTTGCAAAGACCTACCAGAGGGGGCAGAAGATAACCACAAATGAGACAAGCAGATATAACAAGGAAGGATATTATAGAGGAGCTATTAAAAACAGTTGCTATTATTTGCCCCATTCCAACATGACGTGTGGCTCCAGCGTCATTCTGATCACTATGAATTCTCTGGCAGACTCATTTTAGGGGAAATGAATACAGAAATGCCAATTATTCAAATGTGAAATCTTGTGCAGTTGACTATCATTATTATCATTGGAAAGAGCATAGAATGTTCTTCTTACAATGAGACATACTGGAAATATTGTGATTTGTCTATCCTGAATTCCAGGAACATGGACGCAGGCTTAGGTGATGGAATTTGAAGAAAGCATCAGGGAATTTCAGAAGGGATTTCATCTTCCTGTGAAAGTTCTGGCTGTGTTCAACTGTACCGGCTGAAACACAGGCAGGATAGAAGAGCCTTATCCTTCAATTCATTCAGAGTAGACTGAAATCCTGGAAAGTGATATTATAAAGCCTGTTTTATGTGAAACACTGAAACTTATTTGGTTGCACTTTTCTTTTTGGAGTAAACACAGAGTTCACATTAAAGTGTAGATTAGAAAATGGTTCAGAATGTAAGGCAGCTATCCAAATCATGATTTCTTGAAAGTTATGCTCAGTGTTATTTTTCTGGGGGCAAGGGTGCAGGAAGACACATACCTTTAAACATTTTTTTGAATCTTTATACTTTTGTCCATTTATTGTATTTATTTTTCCAGATTTGAACTATAAAATGGTGATTTTCTTGAGTCAAAATGAGAGTTACCCTAAACTTTTTTTTTTAGAAAAAAATCACTGGTTATGCTTCTCATAATATATAATACTGACTTAACAGTAAACATCTTAGCTTATATATTGAAAACATACTTTGAAGGCAAAGCAGGTCAACCCTGATTTCAGCCCAGTTTCCCACAGTCTCTTTATATATCATAGCTCAACATTGCAAGGACACATGCAAATCACTCAGGAAGGCTGGAGGTAGTCTTAAGGAACCCTCTGCCCCCTCAATATAAATTCCTAACTTTCTTCCAGGTCCAAATCCTCCTTTTTTCTGCCTCACTAAGACACTTCTTTGTTAAAACCATGAAGTTCCTGCTGTTCTTGTTTTCTTTGGTGGCCTTTCAAAAATGTAAGTGTATATTCTGTGGGAAGTTCAAATATATAGGTTGATTCCATGCAGTGATTAGATTATGTCCATTAGACAATGCTCAATTCAATTCATTATATTTCTCTTTTTTTTCAAGGGGTCCTTTCCGATGTTCAGCTTGTTTCTTCTGGGCCAAGAACAGTGAGACCTGGAGAGAACCTCAGTCTGCTCTGTAAAGTTACTGGTGTCTCCATCACTGATTCAAGCTATATTTGGAACTGGATCCGTCAGCCTGCTGGCAAAGGTCTAGAGTGGGTTGCAAGAATATACCCCTATGATGGGAGAAAATGGTTTGCTGCTTCTCTTCAGAGCCGTGCGACCATTTCTTCAGACAACTCCAAGAACGAGTACTCTCTCCAGCTGAACTCCCTGACAGCTGCTGACTCAGCCATGTATTTCTGTGCCCGAGAAGACACAGTGACACATGGTAATTGGGACTCTGAACAAAAAGAAGAAACTGATTCTGAATGCAGAAGGCTGTATGCAATCACAAGACATAAATTACTTTGCAAACGCAATGCAAAAGAATTCAAGGAGAAAAATAAAGAAGTACTGAGCCATTTTTTAGGTAAAGGTTCTCATGTTCTTTTCTGTATGTATGCAGCAAATCATGATGGTGGACTCGATTCCCATGTCAGTCTATTCCAGCTTTATGGTTCTGTGCATCCAACCAAATATCTTGGTTTTGCTTCCTCAGCTAAGTAGCACTTGCAGACCAGGCAAGGACAAGGACACACATATCCAGCCCCTCTCAGTTGTAATGGTTGTGTAGATGTATCTGCAGTTTCTTAAGTGTGCAAGGAGTTCTGATGGGAAAACTACCATTCTCAATACCATGCCTCTTCTTAGATTTGAAGAGGGGTAGATGACTTTAGCACTTAGCAAGATCTACGGATTCCAAGTAACATCAATCTCATCACTCTTTTCCAGAACTCAGTTCATCCCTTGTTACCGCAGAAACATCTCTTGGTAAAGCCAGGCCTCAGAAACTCCTGCTGTTACTGCTTCTCCTCAAAGGACGGCAGCAGAGTATAAAGAGAATACATTTGACCATTAGCCAGGAGGAAAATGAAACCGACATCTGAAAGTATTAGTTTGTGGTTTCAAATGTAAAGCTGACTAATTCTACAACCGTTTACCCCCAAACCAGTGTTGTGTAATCTCTCAGGAGTTTGACTCCCCAAGAGATTTCCCTATGCTTTATTCTTGAAACCTGACACAGCCAGACTCCTCACTTTCCGGCCTAAGGAGTGAACAAGAAAATGCTCAGCTTGCCTTCACTTAGGTGTACATGCTTCTTTATTAATTGCATAGCCAGACTGTGTTCAGTGGAGAAAACCTGGTGGGATCCAAGCAGATTCTGCACATGGAACCCGAGTAAAAGTCTCGTCATTCTATATGGTCAAGTTACCATAGTGGAAGGAATGTGCATTGAGAGAGCCTGCAAGTCAGCAGAGAGTACTCAGAAATTAAGAATTGGACAAGGAATATACCCCCATGATGTGAGAAAATGGTTTGCTATTTCTCTTCAGATCCGTGTAACCATTTCTACAGACAACTCCAAGAATGAGTTCTCCCTCCAGCTGAACTCCCTGAAAGCTGTTGACAGTGCTGTGCATTTCTGTGCTCGGGATAGCACAGTGAGAGACGGCAATTGGGACTGTGAACAAAAAGAAGAAACTCAGCACACACAAACACAATATATTTGTCAACCATAGGATAAGGTTAACTAGACTCCTTCCCCACTTATTCCTGATGCAGATCTTTATTCCTCACTTGTTCCCAGTGCAGATCTTTATCTCCTCCACCAGTTCTGGGCAAAACAGTTTAAGAGGGATGTTGGTAAGATAGAATGTGTGCACAGGAAGGTGAACAAAATGATAACATTAATCTTGCCACTTTCTAAAATTTATTTATTTATTGGATGTGTTTGTTTGTTTTTGTAAATCTATCAAAGAATAAAATAAAAATGGGATTAAGGGGCCTTCTCATGACAGTAGAGGGTGGGTCTTCTGTGTGGTGTCCCTGGCTGTTCTTCTGATAGGAAATGCATGGCATAGGAGAATAAAAAGGGGTCAAGGAGGGTCAGTTGTGGGGGTGGGGAGTGATGAATGTCCTTATTTTCATCTGAGGAATCTTGAAGTTATGCAATCATATACTCTGGGCTTTCAGGAGCTTCACCTCTCTCTCTATTTATGCAATCGCAACAGGCAGGATAAAGAGGAGGGATTTGGAGCCACCCCTATTTCTGCTGAGTCAAGTTTGTAGTACAGAACCTTTGCAGACATGCCTGAACAAATGCCCAGAGCAGTGATGTACCAAAGAGCAAGTGCTAGGGAGGGGAAACCATCTTTCTGTCCAGGCATTCTCAATGACAAATAAGGAAGACTTGGAAAAGCCCGCACCATTCTGCTTGTAAGAGCCACTTTATATGCCATCTGTCATTGGAGGAGGGGCTCATGCAAATATGGGGGCGGACAGAATTCCTCTTCAAAAGGAATCTCACCACATTAAAGACCCTGACCTTTTCTCCCCTTCAAAAGATCATCTTTCCTCAATAGGCAACCTATACAAATTATGAAGTTCATTCTGTTCTTGTTTTCTTTTGTGCTGTTCCAAGATGTAAGCATACCTTCTGGGAAGATTAAGACAGCTTTGTTTACTTAATGTATGAATTTGATGGTGTCTGATGCTCATTGCAATCTTCTCTCTTTCCCAAGGGGCCTTTTCGGACATTCAGCTTGCACCTTCTGGACCAGGAACAGTGAGACCTGGAAGAGAATCTGA